ACCTAGGGGGTCTTTCCCAGGTTAGACTGTACGAGACTGCTTGATGCCTCTCCCTCTTCAGGGCACTTAGAGACCCAGGCTGGGTGGTGTCCCCTTACATTTTGCGCACCTCGGGTGGTTCCCCCAGCTTTTCGTGCTGGGCCATTCCTTGTCGTCATGTTCTTTTGCCACGCAGAACCCGCACCTTTTGGCCTGCCTGCAGAATCTGGCCGTATGCCCATACTCATGGCAGTTAAAGCACCGGGTGACCTGCGCTTCCCGGTGGAAGATTTCAACGTCACAAAATATGCTGTCTATTATCAATCCATTGTCTACTAGTAGGTTGGCTTGCTGAGGCGAGGTGACGCTGAGTACAAGAGACCCAACCTTTGCCTGCAAGCTGGCATTCCGTCGTAGAGACAGTCTCTCAATTTGTACCCCTCTTCGGAGTCCTTCATTCTGTGCGTAAATTGCCTTGATGGCTTGCTGTTCCTCCTTCCAGTTGGTGTTGCCCATTGGGACTCCCTTAACCATGACTGGGTACAGGGTGTGCTTTGCCTTCGCCTTTTGTCCCAAGACTTCCAGCCATGTGCTGCTCTTAGTCAAGGCCTCCCTGGTCTCCCTCGCGTCGGTTGTCAGGATGATGTCTCCACTGGGGAGACATCTTGCTGCAAGCACCTTTCCCTTTGTCACATCCACAATTCTGGCGTTGACGGCTGCCACAATCGCTGGGGGGGTGGCCTCCTCAGCTGGGAGGGCTTCGCAGTCCCGGCGTAGGACAGTAATCTCGCGGAGGGTTCGGTTAGGCACTGGTTTTTCTGGAATTCCCTGTCCTGCGACCTTGGCCCATGATGACAGTTTGGCTTCTTTCACTCCTTCGGGTTGGCGTTGTGCGCGTGTCGCCACGGTCGCGTCTTCCACCTTGGCCAGCATCACCTCCCCCAGTTTGACCTTCAACTCCCTCACCAACCTGGCTGCCTCCTCCACTACCTCCTTCCCTTTGCCGTTGATGGCAGGATCTTCGCTCCCATTGCAAAGAACATTGCTCAACTGTGTCAATATTGCTCCACATGTGGTGGGCTGCTGCCTCTTGTCAGAGTTTTCTTCTCGCGGGCGTCCGTCAGCGCGTCCCACGATTTCCTCCATCACAACCATGGCACCAGCACCACCTCAACTGGGGATTGCTGGGTGTCGTGAGATTCCCTGCGATCAGGGCTATCGTTCGCTATCGTTTTCAGTGTATTTATATAAAAGTAAAGACCTTTTTCCTTTTAAAATTTCAATCAACTGAATGATTTAAAAGCCGTCGAATGATTGTGTTTGAATATTGATTTATAAAATGATCTGATTTATCACAGTGTATGCAGACTTCACTAATAATTTAATCAGTAATGATTTTATTTGAATTATTGAGAATCTTTAAATGTTCTGCATTTATATGAGAAACTCAGTTTATCAATTCTGATTCAGAGATGGAAGATGCTGTAGAGTAGTTCAATATATATATATTTACTCATTGAAATCCTCTGCAATTGTGAAGTGTATTGGATTGAAACAGATTGTTGTTCAGTAAATAAAAATCAGTGCAGAATTCATTGTAGATTGAAAATTTCAGATATTCTACATTTTAATTATACAATTGATTATTCAAACTTTTAAACAATATAATGATTTTGACAATGTTATCTCAGTTCTACTCATCTACTTTTAGAAGTTTGTATTCAAATTTAAATAAATAAACTGCTAGTAAAATGTTCTTCTGATGAATTCAATTCAATCAATTTAATGTCTTGACTTGAAATATAGAATTGAGAAAGAGTGAGTTAAATTGTTGAATAACAAACTTTGATATACATTGATTGTTCAGATAACGATTCATTCAAAGTTGAAATTTTATTAATACATCATTGTTCAATCTGTTATGAATATACCACATTTGATTCAATAATAAGTTTATTACCTGGCCATTGATGTCTAATTTGATACTCACTTTCAATTTCCACATGATAAAGAGTGCAAGATTTTTTGTGTATTTGTTGAGAATTAAGGGTTTCTTCTTCAGAGGCATCTCATGAAGCATGAATGTAGAAGAAATGATAAATATAAATGTGCTCATTTCAATAAATCATCATTGCAACTCAGTTATCTATAGCATTTACTGCTGAAAAATGCTTCACAGATTTAAATTATCATTCATTATATTCAAATACAATGAATGATTGTAGATCTGTTGATAACTCATTTCAGTATTTAAAAATATATAATTTTAAAGATATACTTATAAACACTCAGATCTCTTGCAAATATTATTCACAGCATTGTAATATTAAACTTTATCAAAATTCTTTGTAAACACTATTCACAACATTACAGCTTTGTAGACATTTAGGCCTTTTTATAAATAAAGTTGATTGTCACAGATGTTTAAACATGATGATTTATATATTTAACAATAGACATTCAGATCTTCTAAGCCCCGGTGGTTGAATGAATAATGCAATCATCAAATAGCGCCTTGATGTGAGGATTCAAAGCACATGAGTTTGAAATTCACAAAAGAACAACATTACATTCAGAGTCAACTTCTCAGTTTCTAAAATAAAAAAATGTGAACTTGTTAAGTAACGTGACTCACCACCCAACGAACTCATCCACCCAACGAACTCCAAAAAGCGCTCTATAGAGCCGTTAATTTTCAACTGTAGCACAACAATGCAAGAAGATATTAATATTATTTATTAAAGATTAAAACTATATGTAGAATACATCATATAAATATATATGATTAATTCAGAGAACGATTGCTTGGCCTAATAATCCGCCCGGAACGTGAAACTCGTGGTTTTGAAACGGTTGAATCGGATCGCGGTGTAGAAGGTTTCAGAGAAGGAATATCATTTGATTCCACTGGGGGGGCCTGCGTGCGGCACTTATTACCGCTTTTAGAAGGTTGTATAGAGCTTCTACGGTGTTTTGAGCCCACTGTTGATCTTCTTGTAGGCCTCTTTGAGGCCTCCGCGAGTGCCTTCTTTGCCAACTGTGCTTCATGATGTTTAGCAGCACGTTCTTCCTTCTCTTTTTGCAGTTGAAGCTTCTGTTCATCTCGCCGTTGCTTCTCTATACAACGTTTAGCTGCAGCTGCAGCTTTGGCCTCCTCACGGCGTTGAGCAGCTTCTAAACGTTCCTTCTCACGTTGTTCCTTCCGCTCCATGAGCTCTGCCTGCTTTTGCTCATGAAGAATCGCTCATTGAAGCTTCATATCCTCCTTGCGTGCCTGATCATCGATTTTCGCAGTTTCATTAGCATCTGCTTGCTCCCTCGCGGCCTGCACCTTTGTGGGAGAAAAGAATTGAGCAAGTGAGGGATTTGATGGATTAAGCAACCCCATACACTTACCCCGTTTGCGTCGCCTTCTCTCATTATTTAGAGCAGTCTGAAGATTCTTATTCTCTATTAAGAGAACCTCTCTGTCCAGAGCAATATTCTCCCCAGCGCGGAGAATTTTTTTAATATCAACTGAAAGTCGGCGGTGACGTTGACTTGCCTGCTTTATCAGGCCTCGCAAAGCTCGTATAGATGTAGGTGTACGCTGCTGAAGCAGTTCCGGGGGTGTAAGTGGACGTGGTTGAATCTTTTTGAGAACGCGGGCAGGATCTATAGGATGTATGCCAGTGGCCATGAAGGCAGATTTGATATTTTCCGCAGTTGTAGAGATTTCCCATGCAGCACGAAATAATCGCCAAAAATCTCGCTTTGTAGTCTGAATAAAAGCCATAGCCCAGAACATGTATAGGAATCTAGTTGATCTGAATATGCCTTTGCAAAGTGGGCCCAAATATTCCAACATCTAGCGGCTGTAAACCGTGTGTAGAGTGGGGAGGAAGAATAGCAAGCAAAATTCGATTCTGATCCGCATAATCAATGAATGCCATATTTATATGAGATGAATGGCCATCTAATATAAGCAGGCGGTAATGATTTCTTGCTTTTTGCTTTGTATGAGGATCAAACACCTGTTTCAGCCAGGTTAACCCATATTCATCATTACTCCATCCATTTTCTGAAGCAGCGAAGTATGCCTGATTCTTTTTAGGATCAAAATCTTCAAGCCATGTATCTTGCATATCTCTTGATTCCCCATGGTAAATGAGTGGAGGTGGAATTGTAGTTCCATCTGCACAAATACCAGCAAGCAGAGAAATGAATTCTCTACTGCCATCCTGCACTGCTCCAATTGTATGCTTCCGTTTGAGAGCTTCTATTGAAACGATTCGCTTGAGGGTATGAAGGAGGCCAAGAAGAAAGTCTTTTTCATCAAAATTGTAGGTGTTCTGAGGTAGAATATTATACTGCTTGATTTTCTCCTGCAACTATTCATAGAAGTCAGCAAAAAGCTCATGGAATTGCACACGAAAAGAAGCAAAAAAACTGCAATTACAAGAGCAAAGAAGTGTTCAAAATAGTAGCTATTATCTGCCTGCTTTCTCTTTTGATCCAGAGCACGAAGATAGACGCTCTTGATCTTTGCTTTATGCCGCTCACAAAAGCAAGACACTCAGTTGATTTCTACTTGCATTTTGGTGATCTCAAATACAAAATTGCGCAGTATTTGAGGTGTCATAGGGAAGCCGCGATCGGATAACTGATTAATATGAAATAGGAGGTGTTGTTCTTCAGTATTTGTGAGATTCTGACAGTAGATTGATGTTGCCTCTGTTCTGGAGACCTGTTGACCTTTGAACCGCCGCATCAAGGTAACGCGATTGATTCCGAATTCCTTTGAAACCTCAGCATATTTAGGAATCAATTGTCGATTCAATTGAGCGATCGCTTGCTCTATAATTGCTTCGTTGGGTGGCATGGTGGGTGGTTGAAGTTGAAGAGTTGCAGGGATTCATGGAAAAAATAGGAGTTCGTTGGGTGGATGAGTTCGTTAGGTGGTGAGTCACGTTAGATATCTTTAGATGAATCTACTATCTGATTTAATTTATAGTTTCTGGGCTGGAAATCTGTATTGTGAGTATCAAAATTTATCTTCATTAATTTTTTCATGGTTTCTGTTATAATTTTAAATATCATTCAACATTAAGCATTCCTTTCTGTATAACAACACTTGTCTGTATTTAACATTACACAAAGACTCGTCATAAGCACTGCTTGCATATGAGTATAATAAAAGAATAATAATAATAATAATTAGATCTTCTAATATAACAATGCATTTAGATATAAGAATTAATGATGAGACACTCAGCTCTTAAACAAAGAAGAATTAATTTGTAATGTAAGAAATATACTTCAATTAACAATTAACACTATTCTAATACAGTTTATAAATTGATTAAGAAAAGAAAGAAGGAGAAAGAAGATCAGAAGAAAAGATTGTACAAAGAAATTTTTATAAAAAAAAAAAGTAAAACAAAAGAATATCAGACATCACACTGTAATGAAATGTGAAGTAAAAGAATATTGAAATTATGCAGAGCAATGATTAAAACTATATATGCATGAAGTAAAGATTACATGGAAGGATGGTTAAAAGCTATGCAAATGCAGACCAGAGTCATGAAACATTGATTGCACAAACTAATTACTAATGAGTGTTCATTCATCACAGTGATCTCAATATCAAAAAAAGTCATTCCTTCAAACTTTTGTAGCAACATTTGATTTTTGCAAATATTCAATTAACAACTTGTTTTCAGTTTCTGTATTGAATAATAAATTTAAATTGAATTGTTCTAATTTAAATTTCACTTTCAATCTCATTCTCAAATTTGAATACTTTGTATAAAGTAACAGCAGATGCTGTGAATTTTTATATAATTGACAATTTGAACATAAATCATCTAAATCATCTTTAAACTTTGTTAAATATGATTTAAAATATTCATGTTTAAGTTTTAACTGCATTATTATAGCAAAAAATTTCTTTTTACACTTTATTAAATAAATTTTTTACTTTGATTTTGTTTCTGTAATGAGCGTACTTCGATTAACGATCTAGCACTATCCTAAATACAGATTATGAATTGATTAAGAAAAGAAAGAGAAAAGAGATCAAAAGAAAAGATCATACAAATAGGGTTTTTATAAAGAGAAGATCAAAGTGAAACAATATCAGAAGTCATTTCACAATGAAGCATAAAATGAAAAAACATTAAATATTACACAGAAGAATTATTAGAACTATATAAATGCAAAGCATGAAGCAGAAGAGATTATATAAAAGAATCATTAAAAATTATATAAATATAAAATGTAATAATAGAAATGAATAAATGCAAAAAAATGAGTTGATTATATAAATTAATTATTAATAAATACTAATCTGTCATATTATCCCCCTTTACTGAGGTGAGTGATGATTCATAGATGTTGAGAGCAGCGGTGTTCTCCATGGCAGATGTGAGTTCCCAGGTTGAAGAATTGTATTCTACTTATTTGACAAGGTATTCACAGCAGCAGTGGTTGATTCTATCATTAAGAATTGCTTTAATCTCTCATTCAAGTTCATTATCTTTTTCCATGATGATGAATGGCTGTCAGTTGAAGATTCTCTGTGAGGGGAATGAATTCTCAGCCATGGATCGGAGCAGGTTTATATAAAAGATGTTGTGAATGCCAAGCAGGATGTTGAGTTGATAATCATGTGTGCTCAGAATCTTCATCACAGTGTATTTGATGTGATGATAATTTAATGTATATGAAAAGCAGTCTGTTCTAATATTCTTGAAATTTAATTAGATTTTATTTTTTACATAATATCAGATTACAGAACTTCTTCTGATATTTATTTAATTTTTATAATCTTGCTGAATACTGATCATAAAAGTCTCTGCTCATTTGCAGACTTTTTTAAACTTGTTTATAATGTTCTCTGTCGTTTATATAAGATTGCAGATATATATGATTTCTTGAAGATTCTCAGAGAAATTCAGAACTTCGAAATTGTATTCATGTAAAAGAAAGAATGAGTTTATATTTGTTGTGACAGAATCTCAGCTGTTAATTGCAATCCCCAAAATATAGCATCAGATAACTTCAATTGTTTTATGTGTAATTGTAAAATTTATAAAGAATGTTCTTTATTATTTGTATGTTTCTCTTTGTAACTTCATCAATCTCTGAGTGGTACACTGTTGACAATTTTCACTTGATTCTTAGCAGTTGATATATATAGATTCATAGTGCACTGATGAATTGACTGTCTCTATCTGATACAATGAATGAAGACAGATTGTGCATACAATAGAATAAGCTTTTGATAAAGCCATTCACAACTACTTCAACATTCATCTTATCACAGAACTGCAATATTACACTTTCATTAAGTTAGTTGACAATGATTAAAATGTTCATAGAATCTTCACTTTTGAGTAGAGAAACTGCGAAGTTGATTGTTATATCATATCAGATTCATTTAAAGACCGGCAGAGATTTCAACATTTTTTTTTATTGTTCACACCATGCTATTAATGAGTCACAATGATTACAATTATATATGAATCAGTGTATGTTCTTTGATATATCTGATGAGTAACATTTTTAAATAATAATGCTGTATATGATTTAACATTCTAAATGCTCAGTCATTAATGAATTATGAATTTTCTATATGATCTGTGTTTGTAGAGGTTCTAAATCAGAGACTCATTGCTTATTTCAAAAGCATAAACAGTTGTCATCATTAATTGAATATGCTAAGATATCTGTTCTTGAATATATATCTGTGAGGAATTGAGATGCTCTGCTTTGTACAGTTTTAACAATCTGTTGTCAGAATTCATCTACTTCTGCTGCTTGTCTTCATTGTTTTTTAACTAAGAGCTTTTGGACTTAAGACTGATTGATATATACACAGAGTTTGTCTGATTGTGTAGAACTTTTTATAATTGTAGAGTTGATTAATCAATGCTCTTAGTGTTTTCATCTGTTATTCAAATCATCAGATGGCATATTTAGTTTTCAGCAGAACAGAGCATTCACAAAAGTGTTTTTTACTTTGAATCAATAACAAATTGTGAGTGAAAAACAGCTAAGAAATAATGATCAAGGCATATACCACTTAGTGAGCTTATGAGTGATTGTGAAGTACTCTAGATTTTTATAATTGATAACAATCTCAAACCTTTCAACATTCATGAGATCAGACTTTCATTTTTCAAAGCATTGTATAATTATTAAAAGCACCTTGTTGTAGATCTTGTAATTGCATTCAGCAGATGATATTTTTTTTGAGATGAAAGTATAAAGTTGCAAAACATTTTCATTATTATATTGCATCAGTGCTTCATCTACTATATAATCTGAGATGTCTATTTCAAGAATCATATGCTTGTCTGAATTGAATGATTGTAGCATCAGAGTGTTTGTGTAAGGCGAAGCCGTACGAAGAAGCTCTTGGGCATGCTATTCTTATTCTTTATCATCGTAACTCTAAGATATGCTGTGCAAGCGGAAACAAGCAGGAGGTGAAGCCCTGTGCGTAGTCATGTGACTACGCGTATGATGGAGCGAAGGCGTGGCACTGGCGTGTGGCAGGGCGTAGCAGTTTGTGAACATACATTTCAGCCTTTTGAAAGCTGTGTCTGCTTCATCAGTTCATTGAAACACAGCATCTTTTCAAATCAGATTCATCAGTGATTGTATGATATCAAAGTAGTTCTTGATAAATTTTCAGTAGAAGTTGATGAACTCTAGAAAGCTTTTAATCTTTTTTACTGAAATTAATACCTTTCAATTGAGAATTGCTTCTATCTTCTTAAAATCCATGCATACATCTATTTCAGTTTCGATGATGAATTTTAAATCAATCATAAACTTAGTCTCAAAGTTGCATTTATCAATATTCATTTACAGTTTAGCTTTTTATAGATGATCAAGTACTTATCATACATGCTTGCAATGCTCAGCAAGCAATCTATCAGTAAAGATCAGAATATCATTCATGTATGCTGAAGTGATTTCATTGAGCAGATTTTATAAAGCTCACTTAATGTATTTTTCAAATATACTCAGAGCATTCATCAATTCAAAAAAAGTCATTGTCCATTTGTATAATCTGTAATGTGTATGAAAGGCAGTTAGTCATTTATCACGTTTCATTAATTTTTATCTTATAGAAGACTGCAGAGATGTTAAGTTTTATAAATCATTTTACTTTTTCTATTCATTTAAATATTTCATTAATGAATGAAGGAGGGTATCAATTCTTCTGTGTAATTTTGTTAAATTCTCAGTAGTCAATGCAGAATTGTAAGCCTTCTTCTGATTTTTTTGCAAATAATACAGATGTTGCAGTGAGTGAGTTGTTAATATAAATGAAGTCTTTATTCAATAATCTACTGAGTGTTTTTTATAGAATGAGAAGCTTATCACATAACATACTGCAGAAAAAACTTCAGAATAATTGCAGATTCTTATCATTTTTTTTAATGAGTTCAATTATATCATCTATACTGCATTCTTAGTGAGAGGGAAGCTTTTCAGCTTTCTTTTCATTAAACATATCTGTGAAGTCTTTGTATGATTTGAGTAGTTCTTTGCATGACTTTTTGAGATTCTTAAATTCTAATTTTTCTAATGCTTTCTTGATATCTGCTATATTGACGGCGAACATTTGAACATTCTTTTTCTTATATATATGATGAGTTAGTAGCTTGAATGCTTCTGCTGATATTCTTTTCATAAATGCGATCGCCTTCTGAGAAGATTAGACAACGGTTGCATGCATCTATGAGAGTTTCAAATTCTGTAAGTCATAATAGACTGAGCATTAAATTGTATTCAAGATCTTGCATTTTATAGGCATAAACATTTTTTTTCTCATATTCTTTTACATCAATGTTAAATTTTATC